TTATTTATACTTTCAGTTTATCACACCAGAGAAATTTTTCAGTATTTACACATCTATTGTTTATTTCACTTGAGTATCACCTCAATGTTCATCCATTTAGCTGCAAATGTCTCTAATTTCTCCCTCTTTATGGCTGAGTAGTACTCCCTTTTATTTTTTTAAAAAACCACTATCCAATCTCCAGTTAATGGGCAATTGGACTGTTTGCAAGTTTTAGCTATTACAACTGTGCTATGAACATGGGTGCACATATATCACTGTGGTGTGATTCTTTTAATTCTTGTGGGAATATACCCAGTAGGGTAATATCTGGGTCAAATGGGACCTCTCATCTAGTTCTTTGAGGTATCTCCACACTGATTTCCTGAAATGAACAGACATTTCTCAGGCAAAGAAGTAGCAAAAGAAACCACCAACATAGTGAACAGACAACTAACAAAAAGGGGGAAAAATTAACAACTATTTCTTGGACAAAAGACATTTCTTTATATATAGAGAATATATAAAGAACTCAAAAAATTCACACATCCCCCTAAATTTAAAGACCCAATCCAAAAATGGGCATCTGTAATGACTATTCACCACTCAGATGAAGAAACACAAACAGCAAATAAACATGAGAAAATATTTATCATCTCTAGTCATTTGAGAAGTGGAAATTAAATCAACACTGAGGAAGCTGGGGATGTAGCTCAGTGGCACCTTGCATTCTTGGAAAGCGCAAGGTCCTGAGTTCAATTCCTGCATTGGGGAGGTGGGGGTGGAACTAGCCAAAACAATGCAAATTCCATCTTACTCCAGAAAGAACAGCTGTCAGCAAGAAATCAACCAATAACAAAAGCTGAGGAGGCTTGGGGGAAAAGGAACCCTTCTCTGTTGCAGGAGGAAGTGTAAACTGGTACAACTACTATGGAAATCATTATGTACATTCCTTAAAAAAACTAAAGTTAGTCATTCCATTTGACCCAGGTATTCCCTTTGGTATCTTACCTAAAGAGTTAAAAGCATCACAACACAATGTTGTGTGCTCACCCATATTTATAGAGCCACAATTTATAATAGCTAAATCTTAGAAACCACCCAGATGCCAATGCATGGATGAATGGATAAGGAAAAGGTGGTTTTTATATGCAATGAAGTACTATTTTACCAAAAGGAAGGATAAGCTTGAGACATTTTTAGTTAAATGATTACACCTTGTTACCATACTTTAAGTGAGATTAATCATACATATGTGCGTAAATATTGTACTGTTTCTCTTGTGTGAGAAACCCAAAGGGTACAGGAGCAAAATGGAAGATGGATACTGGGAAGTAAGGAAGACAATGTTCTATTGGCAAGAGGAACAGGGGCAGGTGGGGTGCGTATAATAAAGAGAACAGAAGAAGAAATGGGAACAAAGCCTCTGTAAATGAGGAGGGGAAGAAGGGTTGAAAGGAGGGCAGGGAAAAGGGTAAAAAAGAATCCAGTTATATCACATATAGGTACAGATTCCTTATGTTGAAATACCAAAAATGTACCAATAACATTAATTTTTAATAAAAATTTAACAGCCAGGGTTTTAGCTCAGTCGTGCTGCTACCTGCCTCAAAAGTACAAGGACCCGAGTTTGATCTGTGGTACCAGAATAAAATAAAATAAAATTTACCTTTCAGTTTGAGGTTTTATTTCATGGCCTCTTGACTCTGACTTTGCTTGTTTGTTTATATGTTTGACTGTGGGGGAGGTAGAATATCTGGGTCAAGGAAGTGAGTAGGACACAGCTTTGCACCTCATTGCAGCATGAAACAGAAGGGACAGGGTCCCAGAACCTCTTTTAGGAGTACAGTGCTTAGTGACCCAACTTCCTCCTCTGAAGGTCCATCTGCAAATGTTCCACCATCTCCTAATAGTTCCACAGGCTGGTGACCACCCCTTTAAAACCAGGGACCTTTTGGGGATGTTTCAGAACCAAACCATAACAGTAAATTACAAAAATTGTTTTATTTTTAAAAATTAGGTTGAGTGAAGGATTAATTACATATTTTAGACACATCATTTATCAGATAATTATTCTCTTTAGTTTAAATGTATGTCTTTTGATAGGTGGTAATAGTGTAAATATTTTCTTCCTATCTGTAGCTTGTGCTTTTATTTTTAAGTGAAGAGCAGAAATAATAAATTTCAACAAATTTGAAGTCATCGATTTTTTTCTTTTATGGTCTATAGTTATCTAAAATATTTTTGCCATGTCCAAGGGCACGATTATGTTTTTCAAATGCTTTCTTCAGTGAGTTTCACAGTTTTATTTATGTTTTGGTGGTATTGGGTGTTGAATCAACCCAGGGTCCTGTGCCTGCTAGGCAAGTGCTGTACCATCGAGCAGCCCCCCTCCCCTCGCACCAGGGATTGGACTCAACCTTGCGCTTGTGAGGCAGTCGGTGGCACCGCTTAGCCAAATCTCTGGCCTCGGGTTAATCTTTACATTGGTGCAATGTAAAGATTGAGGTTTGCTTTCCCTCTTTTGTATGTATAGCTTGTCTTCTGTGCCATCCCCTAGAAAGATTCCTTCCCTCATTGATTCACCCTGACACCTGTTTAGTACAAACTGACAGTTGTGTGGCTGTGTTTTGTCCTATTGTTCACCCTGTGCCAATACTTCATTCCTTTGCTCACTGTTAAATGACAGTAAGTTTCAAAGTAGGTAATGTAAGTCTGTCACTGATACAGTTTTAAAGTAGCCTAGCTGAGAAATTCCCTGGCAGTCTCCACATCTGCACTTCCCTGAAGAGTTCAAGGGTAAACAAAGCTGACTTATACCATGGGAAAAAAATCAGATCTACTTCTATTTTTCTGTAATTTGTTTAACTATCTGAGCCAACAGTGTGTAAGATCATAATTATAATGTCTGGTATATACCAGGTGCTTTATACTATCTCATTTAATATTTCCGAAAAGCTACATATAGAAGGGCATTATTATTTTTATCACATAGTTGAGTCCACATACCTACCCTGATACTAATAATAATAATAGTAGCAGTAGCAGTGATCTTTATATAGCACAGTATTTAAAATATAGTCTGTCTGAGGATGCTGAACCGTAGGTTCTTTCAGCTGTTATTGCGTGCTTCTAACACTGACCTCTTGCTTTGCTGAAAGGAGCATTTCTTTTCGCCCATAAGTGGAAATGGTAGTAGTGTTAGTTAGAGAGATGATTTGCTATATATCCCTTCTCGTCCTTGAAAGGTGCCTAACTTTGCTTCTGTCCCTGCCAAACCTGGGGCAGTCTTCTCTCCTTCTGAAACCCACCCTAGAGGAGTGTTATGTAAACTGTCAGGGCTGATAGGGGAGTAATAGGATGCTTATTAGAGCTTCTATTACTTGTGCTGTTGATTTAAATGGCTGCTATTTCAAGTAACAAAGCAGTTTATAATTCTGTGTTTATATTTTATTCCTCTCGTTTAAGACTTACCCTAGGGATATACATTGGATATTTGGAAATATCTTTGTCTTTGGTGCATCATTCTTTAACATAAGCATGACACTTTGCTTCATGTTATATTTGCATATTAATAAAGGTTACTGAATAATACAGCAAGCAGTAATACTTCAATATTATCATTCCTGCTAATATTACAACGTTTAGCTCATGATTGTTGCTTGTGTGATGTTCTTTGATAAATTAGTTATTGGTATGAAATTATAATTGGTTTATATTAGGACCAGAATAATGAATATATTTACTCAGTAGTGCTAAAAAGAATTGATTTTTCCTCTTACATAATAGTTTATTTCACCCTGACTGCCATTTGAGCAGAATCCAGTCTTTGCATACCAATTTCCTTTTGTTTTTCATGAAATATATCTAATACCCTGTCTCTGTTTTATTATGTATGATTTCAAGACTGGTTTGGTCCTGGTAAAAATTAAGATTTAGTGTAATCTATTTTTCTTCTCTTTTCACCACTTAGATTTTAAAATTAGATGTTTCCAGTGTCCTGGAAATAGTAAATTGCATATTAAATCAATATTAACTTTTACTTTTAGGTTCTGCTTACTATTCTAAAGAGTTCTTAAAAGAATTAGCAGAATTTTAAGTTTGATAGTGAGTCTAAATATTAAATTATTACTGAGTTTCTTTGAAGGAAAAGAAATTCCCATGGATCATTTGTAAAAACATTACTGAAGCTAAATTATTATGTTTTCAGTACCACTACTAGTAGTTAACCAGAGTTATTCTTATACCTGAGAATACTCAAATGATATAAAATATCATAAGCATGTATTTCTTTTCTTCATATTTTTCAGTGAGCATCTTGGAAACAAACTTCTAGTGTAATAACAAGGATCAGAGAAAGAGTTACAGTTAAGCTCTTTGTTCTGGGGTATAGACCCAGAGGAAACTGACCTTTAGTGGTCTTCAATATTGAAAATGTTCATTTCTTCCTTTTCATAGGCATCTTTTCTCTTCAAAATTATTATAATAGGCATACACCAATATTATTACTCCTAAAGTAATTTCAAGTTTTTCAGTTCATATAGTAAACTGTAAATCATGACAAGATTGTTATGTGAATTTTGTTTGTTTGTTTATGTATTTATTCAGAAAACATTACTGCCTGTTACTTTGTATTAGGTCCTGTGGGAGCCCTACCACTACAGCTTGGAAATGAGTTCTGTGTCTAAGGCCTATGCTTTTACTCAGGTTTCATTCCGGCAGGGAAAGGTAATATGAATAGATAAGCAGCTGCATTATAATCTTGGGAACTCAAAATGTGTAGATACCTCATAATTCATAGTAAAATGTTGCTGCATAGTTTTTGCACTATCATACAAATACAAGTAATAAAGCAAATTACCTCTCGATTTACACTGCAATTTGACAGAGAGCCTGTTAATGAATTTTTTATGTTGATGGCAATTAACTAGTATTTGTGTGTTGGTGTAAAATTCACACTTAAAGAATTCAACAGGATTCTGCAGATTTTACTCATGTTTGTTTGTTTGTTTATATTGCAGATTTCTCTTGAATTTGGCTACAAATTTATAGATCTTCTGTCCTGTGTACAGGCACAGGTGAGTTTGAAGTTGAATTTTTTGCATTGGTATATTGATTTTTTTAAAAGAAAAATTAAGTATTTTTAAAGTATCCTTTTTGTACTATAGGTGAAAGAAATAAAATAAAATATTGTATATTTGCCTACATTTTTGTTTTATGAAAGTTCTTTTTGAGTATGTTAGAAATAACATTTAAAGGTAAAATAATTATATCTGTTTATTGGTATTTATTGTATATATTTGGGAAGAGTTTTAAGTATTTCATTGGGTAAGTTAATTATAATTTGTTAAATTTTAATTTCCTGCCATGCAAATGTTTGCATTTATTTTAATATGTAAAATATTTGAGTTGTAGTATTTTTATTTGTTGTCAAACTAGCATAATAAACAGGAAAAGTTAGTATAGATTTTGGCACGAAATTTCAGATTTATGGGGGAATAGGTTTCAAAATGTAATGAGTTAGCCTCTCTTATCCAACCAGTTTGAATAGCTTCTCAATCATTCCTTATAACACAGTCCAGATTTTTAAAATTGTAATATTTATTGACACTTTATATATCCTTATGTGTTTCTTCATTTATAGTTTCTCCTACTTGGGACCATTTCTGTCTTGTTCAGAATAGTATCTTTGATTCTTAGCCTAGTCCCTGGTTTATAGTGAAGGCTGAATGAATGTCTGTTGAAGTAATTATTAGATAATGAATACAATATACATATTTTACTGAGTTTTAAAAATCTGTATCTGTAAATTCTTGTACTTATTTCTAGATGTGAAATTAATTTATACCATGTACTTGATGCTCTTAAATGTTAGGAAAAACTATTGAATATTTTATGTATTCAAATATGCTTAATCAAAGGAAAACTTGCAATTCTGCACTTATTTTATCACTGCCTCAAGAAGGTTCTTAGGATCCAGTAAAGAAAAATGTGAAGGTATAGCAGCCTCCTTACAGGAGCATCTTAAAAGTATTGGATGTTTTGTGATAGCTATGCAGAAAGCAAAGTAGATCTGCGATCTGTTTCATTAACTATAATTTATATAACTTAGTTTTTTATTTCTAAGTTGGTGGCTTTTTGGGGGTCATTTCCCTGCCTTACGTATTTATTTTTGAGACATAATTTTATAAGCTGACTACCCTTTTCCTCTGTGCATAGCAGTTTTCTTTAAGTATTCTAGGATAGTAGTGACTGTGGGGACTGTGGGTTCTCTTCTATTTTGTTTTTTATTCTGTCCTACCTTCTTCGGTCATTCAGCTCTTCTGCTACCATGATTTTTCATTTATAAAAAGAACTAAATGTAACTTTGGGGGTGGTTTCAAGTAAAATTTCAGGAGCTATAAAACCATTTCTGATTTGTGTCTCTTACATGTGCAATTTGAAGAGATTCCAATGATGATAGTAATAAGAACAGCTATTATTTATTATTCTCTTATTGTGTGCCAGGCATTATGTAATTGCTTTTTGGTTATCTCCAGAATAGCAGATAAGGAAATTGAAGCTCTTAAAGGTTAAGTGACTTTTCTAGGGTCACATTAAGTAAGTGGCAGTTTGCTACTCCAAAGACCTTGATCTTAACCACTGAGCTCCATTTTCTTCCTAAATAGCCCAATGACAAGCATAATTGTGGAAATAAGTGTGAAAATCATATTCATATTTGAAGGCTTTAAAATTAATTTTAAAATCAAACATTACTATATTTCATTATCAGATTTTTTTTTTTTTTTTTAGCGGATCTTAATTTTCAACCCCTGGCCTTTATTTCAAACTGTGAAGCATGATGACATTTCAAATTGATGGCTACTTCAGTGGTATAAAATTCCATTCTGGGACTTTCATGTGAGATTTACTTTTAGTTTTAGGGGCAGGGGAATGAGGGGATAGTCATTTGCCTTCTTGTACTATTAGAAATTTTAGGTAGATCTGTGGTATATTGGATAAATCACTTGCCCTGCAAAGAACAGATTGTTTGAAATGTAGTTGGCTATAGATTTACTTAGAACCCTTATTTTTAAAAGTATGATAATTTATATCTGAAGATTTTTTTTAATTATTGAAGGAATGAGGGACTTTAACCTTGAGGTTTGACAGAATTTATTCAAATACACCTTAAGCTTCTTTTTTTTATTTCATTCATTTTTACAGCTGAGTAGAGCATGTTATTTAAAAATATTGTGCATTTTAAATGTCTAATATTATGGACAGAGTGTTCTTGAAGACAACTTTATTGAATACACCTTAAATTTTTCATTCAAAACATGGTGAATTATATTTCCTCAGACTTTCCAAAGAGGTTGTATCTATGAGTGTAAATGCAAATTCCAGATTCGAATGTATGGGAAAGGAAATTCTGCAGTTTGATTTAAGAAAGCAAAATGAATTTAACAGACTGAGCTGTATTTTTTTAATCTATAGTTAAGTCTGTATTTCCATTCCATTCTCACATTTTAAGTATTTTTTAAAGTTAGCCAATAAAAATTTCTTGGCATAGATCATCAAAACAGAAGGAAGAGTTAGGTAAATTTGCCTTGAAGTGTAATTTCTCCTTCACTGTGGAAAGCGAATTCACTGTGAATTTGCATAGAAGGATAGCATGAGGGTGAGCAGGTAAAAAATTATTCGTGCTTCAGTACGACCCTATTCTTCAATACTAACATAGATATTCTACTGTAGTGTAAAGCATAGTATATTTCATGAGGAACTAATACACTCTGTTATGTACTAAAAGCTCAATATTAAAATTACATTTAAAATTGTTAGGGCATAGAAGAAATTTTAATCTTAATGTATATGACATTGTTGAAAGCACATTTCAAATACTTGTTGAATTTTTGAATCCCCTCTTTGGTCATAGATGTAAGATGTCAGATACTTGATTTTAACTGAGAGATGTAAAGATTCTGGATGATAATAAGCAGTATTTTGTAAGCTATAGGTATAGGGCTTTGAACACTGTCTACCGAAAATTAGTATTAATCTAAACTAAAATTTGGAATTTTTAAATATATAAATTTTGATTTAGGCAAAATCTGCCCCTGTTTTAATTGTATCATTGCTTTTGTGATATTTCTTTCAAATGTCAGCATAATAGACTTTATAAGTTTTTTGATAGTTGATAAAAAGCCCTCTGTCATTTAACTGTTTAGCGTAGAGGTAGAACCCTAATTTCACAGGGTTAAACTCTTCTATACTTAATATATAGAATGGGCTGCTGAAGTTGGGACAAGATAGGCTCACTGTTAAATTGAAATTTCCTTTTTTTTTTGGTATGGGGGATCAAACTCGAGACCTTGAGCTTGCAAAGCAGATGGAACCACTGAACTAAATCCCCAGCCCTGAAATTTCCTTTTGATGGATATTATTGACACAAAGCCTTCATTTGGAAACTGACAGGTCTGTTTTGAAAGCATTTTTACCACTTTCTTCTTTTCTCTGAGCACATTAATATGAACAGATTGGCCTGGTTTTGCCGGTGAAATTCATCAACACTACACTCTTCCTTTCTTTCATTCTTATTTCCCTTAGGTCATCTCTTCATCAGCTATCCTTCCTCCTTCCAATCTCCCCTTTTTTTTTTTCAGAGATAACCATCGTTTGTTTTGTACCAGCCTAAGTGCTACAGGAAATGTAATGAAGGATCACCAAAAATTATTAGACAGGAAAAGCAGTATCAGTGCAAATTTAACACCATTATTTTCTTTTTGAAATGTTTATATATTGAGTTTTGGTTTTTCTCATTGTGTGTGATGAGGTGCTGGGGATTGAGTGCTAATCATGTATTCTACCCCAGTGCTCCCACTGGTCCTTATATTTTTAAACTATTCCTTATTTTTGGAATTATTTATTTGCTTCTGTTTATTGTTTTATTAATCTAGCAATATGAGAAGATAAGGCAATAGTAACAACAAAATGTTGTACGTCATTAGTCAAAGTGTTTATTGTATAGAATTAGCAGAGCTTTCGGAATTGCTCTTGGGAAGCCACAACCTTTCAAGGTGGGTTTGTGACATGTAATGAGCTTGAGCCAGAGTCCAGAGTCCTTTTTACTTCCATATGGACAGATAAGCAGAAAGGTAGTGACAGGAATAGTGCTTTGTTGAAAATATAGGAGAACACCTGAGTTTTCTAGTTTATTTAAATCCTATACTTAACAAAAACTTAGAGATAATAATTTTAAAACTCATTTTTAAATAAAATGTATACGGCTGTTGTTTTTTGGCATATAAGAAAAGTGAGTTTTATTTTAGAGCTATTTTGAAGAGTGAAGCAGCCAGGGATTTGGCTCAGTGGTTCTGCCACCTACCTTGCAAGTGCAAGGGCCCAAGTTCAATCCCCGGCACCAAAAAAAACAAGAACAATAACAACAACAACAACAAAAAAAAAGTGAAGTAACATTTATTTTACTTGATTTTATGTTTAACTTGTGTTGGCATAGCTGATATGCTCTGAACAGTAATGAAAAATGAAAGTGTTACCTGTATATGTTGTACATATCTTTGGAGTTAGCATGTCTTAGAGGAGGTAGCACTCATGTCCTCTTTTGAGGGGGTTAGAGTGGGCCATGATTCTTCAGCTGTGCCTTTCTGCACTAGAAAACAGGAGCACTTATGCATGGCAGTGGAGAAAGTAGTTTACAGCTTATTATTAAAAGGTATAGCCTCCTTTTTTTCTTGTCATTGGTCCTGAGGTTTCAGTTTACACATATATTTTCTATTTATCTGGATGGTAGAGTTGATAGCTTTGGGAACAAGTTTGTGTTAAGGAGAATTTCATTTAAGTGCTACCACAGTAACTTTCAGAAAGTTGGCTTTGATTTGGATCAGTTTGAATTTTAGGTGTGTTCTTCACTTGTTATTTTCAAGGCTTGTGAAAAATTTAATTTTATTCAGCTGTCCTTGTCAGAATCCCTATTAAGATAAAATACCAAATAAAATTAGACTACCTCCCATTAAACACCTCCTACTTTATTTTTGAAGCTCAAATCCATATGTTATTTTGAGCTGTTTACATTGTTTAT